ATGCATGCATGCATGTGTATGTATCTGTGTATGCATGTATTTGACGTCCAGGGCTTAGGCTTGCGTCGAGTCTAGGGCCAGGATGCTAGATGTCAGGATGGTGCAGCCTGAACCTACAGTCTGGAACTTCTTTTGTCGCGAGTAGATGAATTTTTACTGGGATCTCTGTCCTGAGCAAGGGGAATTTCAAATAACTTCGCCGAACCCTAACCACTCTTTGAGCAAAAGAACAGACCCAAAAACCGGTAAACCAGCACATAGCGGAGCCGCGGGCGGCACTGCCATGCCCAGAAGGATTGTGTTCTGGGGGCGGATCACAACAGTACCGCGCCTGGCGAGAGGCGAGTGCAGCCAGCGGAGTGAACATGAGCTCAGACTACAGTTTCTGGTGGCGAGGGGCGTCCGGGTGGTTTGTACATATGTAGGTCCAATCTCAGTCGTCTAGACTCTAAAACTGTCTCCGACAACTTGGTGCCTACCTTCAACCAAACTCCGAAACACATAAAAACCCACACACCTGCGACCAAGAAGCTAAAGCCATTAGTTTTGCTTCCACCCTCTTTTCACTGCCGGCCTTCGGACACAACTCACTGTTTGCTGCATCGACGTGCTTGGGTGTGGCGGCCTGACATTGGAAGCTGCCGAGCTTAATATACGAACCTGATGGTTTGAAATCCTGGGTCTTTATTCAGGTTCTGTATACGAACCGTAATATTTTGGGGTTATAGGGCCATGGATGGGATTTTATTAGGGCTCTGAAAAAAAGAATCCCAGTATTTTGAGGTTATACTGCAGGACCAGGGTTTCATAAATCGGGCTCCGACATGAGGATTTTGGACTGAGAATTTCTGAGATTCGGGGTTTCATGCTTGCACGAACACAGGGAGTACCGGACCAGTGAAGCACCTTTACCTTTTTTTTACGTTGGTCTCGACAACCATGCAAGATCGAGCGCAGAGCGTCATAAAATGTACGTAACCTACACTACTGGCATCCGGCTCCTAGACAAGACCTCGAAGTGCAACGAAACCCAAACCTCAATCCCCAACACCTCTAATAATGGACGAGGACCCTTCCTAGAACCCTTTCAGAAACCTTTTCCCTGGGGCTCCAAATAGCCCGGAATAGGTACTGTTAGCAGACTTCAGAGCCCAAAGTAGGTACTATTTGTTTACTTGGAGCCCTAGGGTTAAGAGGAACCCTTGTAGAACCCTGAACGGAAACCTTAAAGCACCATCTCGGAACCCTAAACCCAGAACCCTAAACCTAAACCCTGAACGTAAACCTTAGTGCACCATCTCGGAACCGTAAACCCTAAACCCTAAACCCTGAACGGAAACCTTAAAGCACCGTCTCGGACGGCCCCCACGGCCAGAAAGAAGCTCCCATGGTCAGAAGGCGTTTAGGGCTTAGGGGTAGGGCTTAGGGTTTAGGGATTTTGGGGTTAGGGATTTTGGGCTAGGATTTAGGGTTTAGGGTTTAGGGTTTAGGGTTTGAAGGTTTAGGGTTTAGGGTGGCTGCGGCTCGGCATTAAGATTTATAATAGGGTTTCGGGGTTTAGGGTTTGGGTCGCAGTGTACAGCCGGCTCCTCGTTTGGGGCTTATAGAGCCGAGAACTCTGTGGGCTGCGTGTAGTGCCAGATTGTGTTCACTGCAGCATTCAATTGCGGAGGAGTGTTTGAAATCCTAAACCCTTTTAAACCGTTACTCTAAACCGTTACCCATAAACGCTAAACCCTAAACCGTTACCTACTTTTTTATATAGCAGATCCTAACCATAAAACTAAGTACCTTAAAAACGGGGTAGGGTATGACCCTTTAGATAGGACAAAGCATGGAGAGCTGGCTATATTCGGTTTCGCGCTATCTGTGGCAGGATCCGGGGGCGAGACTTAGCACCTAAACCCTAAACCCTAAACCCTAAACTGCTTTCTTTGGTGCTTTCTGCTCTGGCTTCAGGCGAGAAGGCCTTAGGTTCCGGGGATTAGGGTCCGAAGGGTCCAGGGTGTAACGGTTTAGGGTTTAGGGGTGACGGCTTAGGGTTTAGGGTTTATGGGTAACGGTTTAGGGTTTATGGGTATAACGGTTTAGGGTTTAGCGTTTATGGGTACCTTAAGAAAGGGGTAGGGTATGACCCTATATGGGTAATGTAGGGGCCTTAATGATTAGAATAGGGTTTGGGGGGTTTACTATACTATAATTGCAATAAGGACCCCCCCTCCCCCAAAAAATAGTATGGGTAATTATGAAGGTCCCTATATTACGTAGGATTTAGGCTTTAGGGCTCAGGGTTTACAGGGCTGCAAGAGAACTCCAAAGGTCGAGAAACATGCTCCGAAGTTGGCCGAAAAAAAGGTTTAGGGTTTAGGGTTTAGGGTTTAGGGTTTAGGGTCTAGGGTTTAGGGATTTGAGATCCCTACTTACTATAGGGGCCTGTATAATTAGAATAGGGTTTTGGGGCCCCTTATACTTATAATAAGGAACCCCTTCAGGCCCCTATATTACTGGCTTCAAGGTTCTCAGGTTTAGGGTTTAGGGGTTTGGGGTTTAGGGGTTTAGGGTTTAGGGGTTCAAGGCGTAGGGGTTCTGTGTCGGTGTTGCGGGGTCTTGGTCCCATGATGGCTTTGTTTATCACGACCCCTACTTGCTCAGGGCTTTAGCAAAGCCACACTCCCTATCAGCACCTTGGGAATTACTCATCAGGTGTCCGTCTCTTTCTACATGTGTATGTATAACAAACAAGACTGCTGTGTTGAATTTCGTTGTTTGTTAACGTACTGTTTTTGTTTGGCCGACCGCCTCAGCCTCGGGCGCTTCCTTGCCGTCCGCCGCGGGCGGCGCACGAGGCGTTCGCTCCTTTCGTGGGCGTTCGTCGTTGAGCAAGTGTAGGTGTGTTTTTTTACCCTATGCTTCCAAGGACCTTATAGTTAGGGCCTGCTTAAGGACCCAATAATCCGGCCGACGCATTTAAACTCAGCTTTAGGAAAACCCTACGCAACTCTCCTCAGCTGAGAACATACTTGCGCTTAGCAGCCGCGAGATGAGACCTAGAAGCTGGAGGGAATCAACAAGTGCGACAGCGCTGGGCCCAAAGGGTCCCAAATACTGTTATAGGGAATACCTCCCTAAATCATAACAGTAATTCCTAATATGGGAACCCTCTTTTTCTGGGGGGTTTTCTGATTCTTGATTTAGGGAGTTCAGCGTGGTCCAAGTGCTGCGGTTCAGGCTGGTCATTGCGAAGACGGGATGCAGCGTTTACTCGAGACATGGCCTCCCCAGCCCCGGGAGATGACAGAACGGCATGTCTAAACCTCCAGGTACCTACTATACTAGGGGCTCTAGTGCCCTTTGTAGTAGGTACCTGGGGGGTTAGGGTATGAAGTTGCATGGCATAAACAAAGACGTAAAATCACAGCCGGAGAAGATTGAATGTCTGATACCTTGCGTTGAACAGTCCAGCGCCTGGTGCTGTGACCCGCTTCCGTCTAACCGGATCATGCCTTAACCGGATCATGCCTGAACGCAACAATGAGCGACAACACCGTGATCTAGAACGAAAATCAGACAGAAGCTGCTCGGAACTATTGTTTGAATTAAAGCGAGGACTGATACTCGAGTTGACTAAGATATACGAGGAATTCCCGAACCCCAACCCTAAACTGCCTAAACCCGAGAAGTCAAGCCCCAAAGTCTCAACCCTAAGCCCCAATGTTTCAAACCAGGGTTTAGGGCTCTAGGGGTTTAGGGGTTTAGGGTTTGGGGGTATAGGGTTTAGGGGTTTAGGGGTTTCGGGGTTTAGGGTTTAGGGTTTAGTCCAAACCTGTGCAGGAGTTAGGGCCTGAGCCGCGCCGGTCGCATGCTCTGGCTCGACTTCTTCGCCTCCGATGGGTGCAAAGATGCTCGTGATGCTTGGGATCTCCATAGCCCTACGGGTCCATGTACCCAAAGCTCTTCCACTCTGGCCTTAAAGTAGTGCCTATATAGGTACTTGGGGACATGGATCCTCAGGGTAGCCAACACTAGTGTTTAACGATTATGGTTATAGGGCTTCGGGTTGAAAGTTTAGGGTTTAGTGGGTTTGAATTTTAAGTGCGACTGTGCTGAAACTTAAGACTTAAAAATTCACCGGACAGCTCGCAACCGAGCCGACAACCTTGAGCCAATGCAGCAATGTCTGGTTTCCAGGAAGTCTGGCTGAACGGTGGGCTGCGGTTTGGGACTTCGGGTACAGGGGTCTGAGGCTGAGGAGTTATAGGTGCGGGGTTTGGGACATGGGGTCATGGACTCAGGAATGCAGGCATGTGGATTTGAGGGTCCCGTGTTCAGCCCTTCTTTTCAAGATCGTTGGTGCTTGGTCCTTTCCCAGGCTGCGTCGGTTGAAAGCCGTGAGCACGGCCCCAGGTTCGAGCTTGAATGTTGGACTAGCCTCAGGGTCCATGTGCCCAAACAGTTTTGATTTTGGCCTTAAAGCAGTTCATATGTAGGTGCTTTCGGCCGAAGTATATACTTGTCGGGTACATGGACCCTTATAGGGCCAGTCATGCCGGAACCAGGATGCCACCGAAGTGTGTTGACAATCGTTGCGTAACATAGCAAAGAGATTTGGGGCCGCACCTTAGGGTCGCGGTTAAGGATTCGGCGCCTGGCATGCAGCATCTAGTGCCTAGGCTGACGGCTGTAGCTGCTCGCCACATGCCGTGACGGGACACCACCCCGCTTGCCCAAAGCTATCTACAGCTTCCAAGTATAACCTCCGAGAGACAAGCCAAATGACTACAACAGGGTTTGTCAGTCTAATGTAGGGGCCTCAATAATTAGAATAGGGTTTGGGGGTATTCTACTATAGTTATAATGAAGAACACCCACCAAAGTGTTGGTAATTATTTAGGCCCCTATGTTACTTGGAGCTTTGTCGGGGCTGTAACAGAACAGCTTGCCAAGCAACGTACAACCCTCGATCATCTCCTGCATCATAAGAGCACCCTGTATCCTAATCTCCGGCCCTGGTATCGGGGGACCCCAAAATCAAGTGGTGCCCTAATGGGGGACCGAAGAAATCCCAAACAACCCTTGCAAAACCTTCATAGAAACCTATGAAGAAACGTTAAATTTCGAGAAGGTCCCGTCCATTCCCCCCGTCTCCCGGTGTCCGAGAGCCTTGACCGATTAAGTCCTGGGCCTGTGCCGAAGGGATGGATACTTACGGTTTGGGGCTTGGGGTAGGGTTTAGGGTTTAGGGTTGTTTGGGGTTTATGGGGGATGCTGCCAGGTCTAGTTATTCGTGGGGATTCAGCAGATAGTGGGTACACCATACTATGGTTATATACGCAGTAGAAGGGGATGCTATCACTCATTGTTCCAACCCCTACAGTAGACCGCCTTATGCTCGTCGTCTTTGACAATGCTTCAACGTCACCGTCCAGTAACTTATGCTCGTGTGGTTTGGGGGGAGAAACCCGTTTTCAGATGAAGGGCGGGGGTGGGCTGCTGCCAGAGCAGTTCAGGGGAATCGAGCTGGGGTTCATGCCCCATGCCTTCCGGTACAGACTCAGGCTTACCAGCAAGACTGTTTGGTGTTCAACCCACGCAGTGTCGAGCATGTAATTGAAGCTGAACGGGTGCACTCGGTTTAAGGGCTGACGAGACAAACGACAAAAGCTGCTGCATCGTGGCCCTAAACCCTGAACCCTAAACCGGCGGCATGTGGCACGGATTTGAGGTATCGGGCAGCTTGGGGTTCAACACTTTCCACGACTCGATGCGCGCGGTGACGTTTAGTAGTACCAACCATGCCAGGAAATTCATACACAGCCCCGCTCTCACTCGCGCTATAATGAAAAATCTCTACACAAAGCCCTACAAATCCTGTTCGTAGGGATGCAACATAAGAACCAGCGCGGAAACGCTACGTAGTACTACACAATACGACATGAACATTACATACAGGCCGAAACGGCTGTCTCTTTCGGTTGAAATATGAGGTCCTATAATAGACACCTAAAGCCATGTATCTTACGACTAGAAACCTGAACCCTATGTCAAGCCCGGTTCAAAAGGATTAGGCTTCGGGCTCCCTAACCTTATAACCCCTAAAAGTAAGCAAAAGAATGGCCCAAAAACCTAAAAAGGACCATTCTTCTACTTACTTTTGTATAATGGGGTCCGTGGGCCCAAAAGCCTTAAGATATGAGTTTTTTCCCAGAAGCCTTAAGATATGAGTCCTTTGAGGGCAATGGTTCGGGCTCCCTGACATCGCCTGTGCCGATTCGACCACCAGCAGGGCATCTTTGGCTCCCGCAGAGATGGTCGGCATGCGCCTGGCTCTTGGGCCAAGGGCACATACGTCGAGGGCTTTGGGGTTTCATTCGGGAGTTTCGGTTTGAATGCCTTTAGTTTAGGGATTTGAGGTTTACTTTGGGGTTTGGGGCTTAGGGGTTTTTAGAGTCTGGCGTTGTAGCGTTTAGGCTCTGGGGGTTGGGGCTTATGGTTAAGGGTTATGGGGTAGTACAAGTTTCAGGGACCACAATTGATTTCGTTCGTTCATTCATTCATCTATCCGTTCATTCATCCATTCATTCATTCGTTCATTCCATTCCATTCCATTCCATTCCAGTCCACTCCATTCCAACCCGTTCCATTCCATTCCATGCCATTCCACTCCAGCTCATTCCATTTCACTCCGATTTCACTCCATTTCATTTCATTTCACTTGACTTCATGTTGGTTCATTTCGTTTCAGTTCATGTCATTTCATTTCATGTATGCATTCACTCATTCGTTGGTTCTACAGCCATACAAGAAGTGCTTCGATCGTTTCCTCACACAATCACACAAAGGATTTTCGCGCAAGTAGACATCTCCTGCAAGTTTGAGCATATAGATCCATAAACACATGTCCAAGAAAACAATCCTGTAAGGCAGTACCCACACACACACAGCTGCATTGAAACCTCACCTAGCTAATCATACCCTACTGCCCATTTCTCGGGGTAGCTGGCTCTGTGGTTAGGATCTGTTATATAGAAAAGTAGGTACCCTAAACAAGGGGTAGGGTATGACCCTATGTATGACCCTCTTATAGGCAACCTGAACCGTCTGGCTCTACTTGTTAGAGTGTTCGACAGCCAGCCTCCGCAGCTGTTCGAGGACGGCTTGATCCGTCGCCCCGGAGAGGTCAGGAATGTGCTCCTTGATGCAGCAGCCTGTCGTCTGTAGAAGCAATCATCAAAAAGCACCTAAACCCTAAACCCGTAAACCCCAAACCAACAAGTTTTTTGTAGGCAGCATCCCGCAGGGGCCAGTTTTGTGACTATGTTTATGGGGCATGCTGGTCGCTGCTCGGTACGTGGTTGTAACACGATTTGGCAGCTTTGGCTTTGGGGAGTTCTTGAATATCCTGACTTCTGTTGCACTGCCGGGTGCCGATACCCTAAACCGCCTAAACCCTAAACCCTAAAGCCTGTAAGGGATACTGAAGGCTTTGGGCTCCCAGAATTTTCTTACTGCAATCAGGCAGCAAGACGGGAATGGTTGCCGATTCCGAACTTGAGAACCCTCGCACCCGACCCTGGTATCCTAAACCTACCGTTGCTCTATGCTCCAAACTCAACCGCTGGAAGCGTCAATCAGACATTCAGCCCACCTTAAGCATAGGTTGCGTCCTCAATCGCAACAAGTTCAATAGGGCCCTGGGACATGCTATGGTGAATGTTAAGAACGCATGGACTCTATAGAAGCGGCTATTTACGACCGATTACCCAGATTAGCATGCCTGGCTGTCGAAGGCCATGTGGTGCTGCTGCAGCTACGGCTTTGCAGCAGGGATAGACCAGCATTCCTTCATTGAGGACCTTGGTGTTTAGGATTCCGGGATGGCCGGGAACTACATGGTGCACTTAAGGTCAGAGTTTGCAGTTTAGGCCTAGTGATGACAAGACCTGTGACTCCAATGATCCGGATTGGGCTAACTTAGGAACTTATGATCCGACTACAGCTCCCTCGATTCAGCTTAGTTCCTGTCACAGTCATCCCATTGCGGAACACCGTAAAACACAAGAAAACTGTTCTTAATATGCCACTTTCTAGCTTGGGAACCCAAAACGAGCCCTAGTTGTCACAACCAACCAGCTGAGTTCAGTGGTGGTACAGGTGTAGCAGCAATTAGAGAATTGTAGGTAAGTCGAAACTTCGAGCAGGGCCTTGTCAAAGAGAAGGGTGTAGGGTTTAAGGCCAGGGTGGTACCTCAAAACAGGCAGCACAACCGAAGTGGCTGTCAACTCCTACAAGGTTTTACAGCCTGAACACCGGGGCTATCCTAACCCCTCCAGTTCTAAGTCCTGACAGCTCTACATACCCTGAACCTGCAAGAACAAAACACAAGCAATGAATGTAACCCCAGACTCTGAACCCTACATAAACCCTAAACGCCAAACTCTAAATCCCAAACACCACAATACAAGCCCTTCAGCTGGCAAAGCGGCCGGTTCATGTGGATGGTACCGGCAGTCAGCAAGCTCAAGGCCTTTGAGCTCCGTAGAATCTCTAAGTCAAATCGTTCAGGGTTCAGGGGTTTGGGGGTTTGGGGCTTAGAATTTAGGGGTCTAGGGGTTAAGGGGTTTCGGAGTTTAGGGTTTAGGGGTTTAGCATTTTGGGTTTAGGGGCCATAATCAGAACAGGGTTTCGGGTCATGTTGTATTAGAAGTCGTAAAGGAACCCTGAGGAATAGTACCTCAGGAATGGTACGAGTAAGTACTCGGGCTATCTAGTACCACTGTAGGGCTTCGAGTTTAGAGCTCAAGCACGTATTGCGTTTGGGGCGTCTGTTTCTACAAATTCGAGTTGCAGGGTTTAGGGCCCGAGAGGTTCGCGGGCTTAGGGTCTGTGAGGCTCTTCTGCCACCCCTACCCGACTATTGCCGGCATCCTGCAGCTATTCTGTTCCTGGAGCAGTCTCATGTCCCATGTCGAATCGTGCTCCATCATGCTGTCCCTACGTCGGTGCATGCGGAGTACTGCAGCTCTCTAGCTTATCTGTCTGCATCAGGTTCATTGATTCAGGTTCCACGGTTGTTGGTTCAACAAACACGCCGACTGGCGCCACCAGCTTGTGATTCGTAGAAGCTTTCGGTGAACTCAGCATTGACAACAGACAGCTTGGTTTTTCGTACACCCGGAGAAACTGCTGGGCAAGTAGTGTGCTCAAATTGGCCTCGCAAAAAACAGAACCCGTGAAACGCCCAAAAGCGCCTAGGGGCACGTCTGAATTCTACAGTAGAGCCTTAAACAAAAACAGGCTAGTTAGTCAAATCGAAATTCCGATTTAAGGTTCAGGGCCAGGAACGTCTAGACCCTCAATGGTGCACTTCTCTCAACACGAAATTTCTGCTTGCGGGAAACGGTCTTCAATCGGCTTCCTAAGCAACAGAACCCTTGAAAGCTCTAAACCCTGTAGGCTGTAAGTTAGGCTGTAAGCCCTTAACCTAGAGAGCCCAAAACCCGAAAGGCCCCACCACCCTCAAAGAACCAGAAACCAGGGCTCTTAACCTAAACCCTAAACCCTAAACGAACTTTCTCCATGCCTAGTGCGACCTAGATGCCGCAGAACTGGCTTTTGCAGGTCGCGCAGTGGAAGTGCTGCAGCCTTCAGCAAAGCGGTTGATGATATAAACTCGGGTTTAGGGTTTAGGGTTCCGCAATAAGGAATATACCACGATTCCCATATTTTAGGGCCCTTAATTAAGGTAATGCAGGATTTATACCATCAACCGTGTGTTGAGGGCATGGGTGGCTTCGAGCCTAAGCGGTTTCGGACGTAAGGTCGGGGGTTTGAGGCTTAGGGCTTTAGGGGCTTAGGTGTTTAGGGTTTAGGTGTGTTGGGCTCAAGCGATGTACAGGGATAGAAATTATTGCATGACTGATGTACAACTTGTACGAATGCTAAGCACAGAAAGGTCAACAACGCGGCTTGGTCGTTGCTTGAAGGGCTAGGATGTACTTTGTTGCAGAATTGATGGAGCCTCGACATGAGGGTTTTCAAGCCGGGCGGCTATCCTATATAAGTCCTCAACCCTAATTAGCCTAATAATTAGAATAGGGTCCCGTTATATTTTAAATATAATAAGGACCCCCAAAAAAAATAGTAGAGTAATTATTTAGACCCCTATATTATAGCACCTGACAGACTCCCAGTCGAAACGGTTGATGGATTCCTTAAAGATGACATGCACTCCACAAGTTCATATACCATATAGGGGTTCATAGTATCAGGGTATAGGGCCCCTACTCATACATGTCATTTGGTCCCCAAGGCACCTCACAACTCCCTTATGAGAAGCCGTTTCTCCTTGTAACAAACTCTAGAACAACGAATCCCAACCCCCGGATCTGCGAGACCAACCGCAAAAGCCCAAGCTACCACACCCTAAACCCTGACTTGCGGCCCTAACCCTTTCGGCCAAACATCTTTTGTGCAGCAAGAAGGCCGTGCCCAGACCTTCCAGTAAAGATCGGCCCAAGACCGTCCTCGCTGTCAGGGTAAGCCTAACGCCCGAACCCGGATACAGAACCCAGAAAGCCACAAGGTCACAAGTATAACAAGCGCCTACAGTCTACAGCATAATGTGGGGGCCTTAATAATTAGAATAGGGGCTGGGGTAGAAAATGCTATAAGTATAATAAGGAACCCCGAAAACCCCATGAGTCACACAAAAATTCTATCATGTGGGAGATTGGACTCAGGGCTTCCAAACTTAAATAGCATAGCCTTGATACAGCTTATGGAGTTAAGTCCGGGGTTAGCTCAAAGCCTATAGTTGTTTAGGGTTTAGGGTTTAGGGTTTAGGGTGTAGGGTACGTAAAGCTTAAACCCTAATGTGTGTAAGGTCAAGATGCCGAGCTGTATCCACAGGTGGTAGAGGAACCTGCCCACGTCCCAGTCGACATCTGGCAAGCCGAGCGGTTTTGATCTCGCTTGACTCGAACCCAAGACTATGACGGTCCACTCGTGTTGCAGGGTGCAATTCTCCAACACGGCTGCAGAAAATCCCGGGGATCCTGTGAGAAAAAAAAATTTGGTTTTCTGTAAAAAGCCCTTAGGGCATTTGGGTTTATAGCTGGGTAAGCCCTATGCTGCAAGGGATCTGCTCGCAGCATCGTCTGTTGTAGGAAGACATGTAGCAGGGTTCAAGGCTTCATGCTTGAAAGTCAAGAGGGTCAAGATCTATGCCATCTATGCGTTGATGATGGGTTGTCGGGTGTAGTTCGCCGCATGTGCTGGACAAAGTGCTGGAAAACTGCAGGAAGAGTGTCTCTTGAATTGTCGGCACGACTGCATTTTTCGGCACCCAGGGCCGAGGTGCTTCTAAAGACCGCTGACAAAAGCCACAGTTGGTGAAGCAACGGCTGGGCTCCATGCAGATTCAAGGCCCCCTAGAGCCTACATCCTGAACTCCTAAACCCGAAAGACCCCGATAAAATGAGGTCTCTGGTCGAGTCTAAGCTCCATCACCAATCTGGAGTGCAGACGACGCAAACATGAAACCCTAGTTAACCGGTAACCGTGAACTGTGCATCCATAAAAAGGCCAGCCTTGTCTTTAAGGGCCATGATTGCTTGCCCAAGCCCTAAAACCTAAACCCTAAAACCCTAGACCCTAACCCCCCCTTATATTAAGGGAAGTGGGGCCCCGCCTGCTGTGTGCTGCAAGACAAACGGCAGCTGCTCGCACCCAGCTTGGACCCCGCAGCCTCCCAAAAAACAACAAAACGGAACGCTTACAGGAACCCTTAAAGGAACCCTTATAGTACCCCTTACAGGAACCCTTAAAGGAACCTTTATAGTACTCCTTAAAGGAACGCTTTTAGGAGCCCCCAATTCTCAAGAACTCAAGAACTGTAGGGATTTAGCGATCAATGCTCACGGCCATCCCAAATAGAAAGCCGCAGAACTTTTTTCCCGGAGAGTAGGGTTTAGGGTTTAGGGTTTAGGGTTTAGGGTTTACGGTTTAGGGTTTAGGGTTTAGGGTTTAGGGAGAGATGAGAGCCAAGTGGCTGAAGGCCCCACTCATCAATAGTGATGCGCATTGCAAAGCCTAGTGTAGGGTCTATTTTAGGGTTTATAGGGGTATGTCTACAGTCCACGAAAGAACGAAACGACTGAAAGCGACGAAGGTTAGGGCTCGACCCACTGCAAGTTTTATAAGCTGCGAGGACAGCAGCTGTGCCGGGACCTGCTTACATCTTAGGGCTCCGACTGGAAATCTAGTATAGTACACCCTCCAAAAGAAGGGGTGTTTAGGGTTCAGGGTTCAGGTTTGAATTAAGGTTACCAGATGTCACAAGAATTTCAGTAACTGCCGCTACAGTAGCTTTAGCCGCTTCCAGTGCTTCTTCACCAGCCTCTGAAGCCCCGAACGGCAGACATGAGGCAGTCATGCCTCAACCCACAATGCCAATAGAACAACGGTTTAGGGTTTAGGGTTTGGGGTACGACCCCCCCCACCGAAACCCCCTGCGACCCTAAAATCTCTCAAAATGCCGATGCTGAGCCTTACACATCAAGCACCAACTCACGGCCAAAGTCCTCAAATCTATGCCACGTCCAGAGTCCCTAAGCCAGGACGCCTGCTGTCTTTGGGCAGGCATTGGAAAGGCGTTCACGCGCAGTGAAGATCCGCTGGCATCGGGCACAGCAGTTGATCCTAGACTGCACTGGCTGCAGAGTTGAGAAGCTTGGGATGTGGCGTTCTTGAACTTGCTCAAGAACTCTGAGTTTGAATAACTGAAGCAATGCCCGCACACATTTTCTGGTCGATGATTAGTGGATCCTGAATCTCAAGCCCAGTAAGCCGAGGTCGTCATAGTAGGAGTTGTGTGGTAGGCTGCTGTTGTTATGGTCAGGACTCCCTCCGCACGCAGCATCTCTATGAAGGCTTGTGCTAGGTGCGTTCTGTACTTCTGCTGGTCGCACACCTATACGAAAAGGCCCAAACACCGATCCTCTGGCCCTAAACCCTATAAATCTTGAACCCTAAACCCCAAACCCTAAACCCTAAACCCCAACCCTAAACCCTAAACCCTAAACCCCAACCCTACACCCTAAACCCTACACCCTAAGCCCCTAAACCCTAAACCCCTTAAAGGCCAATGTGACTGTGGACTCGATTCTGCCCAGACGCACGCTGTCACCCTGGGAGAGGAGGCCTGGGTTCCCCAGTGGCCCCTTAAGCATAAGGGTGCCCTGGTTAGGGTTTAGGGTTTAGGGTTTAAGGGCACCCCGGTTAGGGTTTAGGGGTTAGGGTTTAGGGTTTAAGGGTGCCCTGCTTAGGGTTTAGGGTTTATGGTTTAGGGGTGCCCTGGTTAGGGTTTAGGGTTTAGGGTTTGAGGGTGCCATGGTTTAGGGTTTAAGGGTGCCCCGGTTATAGGGTTTAGGGTTTAGAGTGTACCCTTTTAGGGTTGACGGTTTAGAGTTAATAATAGTAGTAACAAGGGTACCCTCTTGGGGTTTAGGTTTTAGGGTCCTTAATTTAGGGTACCCTTTTGGGGTTTCGGGTTTAGGGTAAATAGTAAGGGTACCCTTTGTCCAGGGACCCCAAGAAAAAAACCTAAACTCTAAACCCTAAACCCCTAAACCCTAAACCCCAAGAAAAAAAGGCAAAAGGGTACTACTGAAGAACCCCCTAAACCCTAAACCCTAAACCCCCAAGAAGAAAAGCAAAAGGGTACTACTGAGGAACCTAGAGGCCATGAAGAAGATGAGCCCAGAGCCGACTGCGAAGACGATCTCTGGGATCCTCGAGTTGCGGGCACATCGGAGGGCCGAAAGGACTCACCTACCCTAAACCCGAAACCCTAAACCCTAAATCCTAAACCCTAAACCCTAAACCCTACACCCTAAACCCTAAACCCTAAACCCTAAACCCTAAACCCTAAACCCTAAACCCTAACAGTCCAGGTACCCTCTTGAAGGCTTCTCGTCTGGGTACCATACGATTTCTAGAAGGGTTCTATAGGGTTTAGGGTTCCAGGGTCCGGGTACCTGGATGGTACACACCGCGGCTTCTATAAGGGTTCTGTAGGGTTTAGGTTTCAAGGGTCCAGGTACCTAAATGGTACATACTTTGGCCTTGAAGCAGTCCTTATATATGTGCGTTGGGGCCAAAGTATATACTGCCTTGCCTGGGCACATGGGCCTTTAGGGTTAGTAAGTAGGTCGTAGGTAGAGCTATACATACCCATCATAATGCCGTTGTTCTATTAGTCTTCTGTTTTACCCCTACGTACTAACTGGCTGTTCATGCCACTATGACCTACACCCGAATACCGAACCCAAAGCAGCGAATCCACACATTGGCCCCAACACAGCACGGCAATCGTTTAGATACCAAGTTCAAAAATCCCAAGTCCCAAACTATGCATGATAACTTTAGAACTTATCAATCTGGAAAGTCATGCGATCCGCGAAGCCTGAGCGCTAAAGCCACAACATGGAAACCATCAACCCCCACCCACCCTCAGAAACGCAATCGAAGGAGGAACTCAAAGCTGAAGCGCCAGTAGCTCTACAACACCCTACAGCTCTCTAAGCCTTGTCAACCCTACAGATCCAGCAAAGACAGCCCCAGTTACAGCACGTAGACTGAGTCACCCGAAATGACCACTGCTAGTAGCACGCACGAATTGTAGGTAACAAACAGGGGCCTTTCGAAACACACAGATCTAGAAACAAATATCACGCACCCGGAACTTCAAGCCCTAAAGCCCCAACCCGGCCTCATAGAATGCTTACAGAAACCCTGAAAGTCTGAAAGGAACCCTTCAAACAGGAAATCGAAACCCTGAATCCTGCACCCCCTTCAACCGGGAACCTTAAAATAGGGCACCCCAAAAAGGACCCAAAGACAACCCGTAAAGAAACCCTTGAAGAACCCATTAGAGGAACCCTCAGAGAGACCCTTCAGGAACCCTTTTAGCCTGAGTGGAACCCGTAAAGTAAGAGAACCCGTAAAGGAGCCCTTTAAGAACTAGCAAAAACGAACCCTCGGAGAACCCTTCAAGCAACCCTTAAAGAACCGTTTAAAGGAACCCTTAAAGAACCCTTTAAAGGAACCCTTCAAGAAGCCTTTAAAAGAACCCTTCAAAAAGCCTTTAAAGGAACCCTTAAAGAAGCCTTTAAAGAAACCCTCAAAGACGCCTTTAAAGGAACCCTTTAAGGGAACCCTTAAAAAAGACCGAAGAACCCTCAGCACGGGCTTCAAAATAGGAACCCCTAAACCCTAAACCCTAAACCCTAAACCACACGGTTCCCGTCCTGGAGTTCCGCCAGCTCCTCCGGCCGGAAATGGGACGCCAAAGCACCCACGAGGCGGTCGGGGACGCAGCCTTTCGGAGCTTTTTAGAGTTTAGGGTTTAGGGT